GTAAGTACCTCCCAGCGATCTGCCAGCAGCAACCAAGGCTCAAGTACAGGAGGAGCATGTACTCAACACAAGGGTATACTTCCAGTACCCAGGTTAGGTGATAGGGGAGGCTGTGCCACTGGACTTTATAGAATACCTACTATATTAGACCACACTACCAAGACATGAAGTCAAAGCAGCTCTACCTAATACACAGAAACAAACACAGGGAGGCTGCCAAAACAAGGAGTCAAAGCAATATGGTCCAAATGAAAGAACAGATAAAACTCCAGAAAAAGAGCTAAATGAAATAAGCAATCTATCAGATACAGAGTTCAAAACACTGATTATAAGGATACTCAAGGAACTTAGTGAGGACCTTAGAACATAAAAAAAAATCTAGTCAGAAATGAAGGATACACTAATTGAAATAAAGAACAATTAACAGGGAAACAACAGTAGAGTGGATGAAGCCCAGAGCAAATCAATGATTTGGAACATAAGGAAGGAAAAAGCAATCAGAACAAGATAAAAGAATCAAAAAAAATGAGGATAGTATAAACAGTACAACTTCAGTTGAAGTCCAACATCTGAATCACAGGAGTGCCAGAAGAAGAGAAAGAGCAAGGAATTGGAAATTTATTTGAAAAAATATTAAAAGAAAACCTCCCTAATTTGGTGAAGGAAATAGACAGGAATTTCTAGGTAGCATAGAGAGTCCCAAGCAAGATAGATGCAAACAGGCCCACTCCAAGACACATCATAATTAAAATACTATAGGTTAAAGATAAAGAGAGGATCTTAAAAGCAGCAAGAGAAAAGTAGTTACCTATAGGGGACTTAGCATAAGGCTGTCATCTGATTTCTCAAAACATAGTTGGCAGACTAGAAGGAATTGGCAAGAAATATTCAAAGTCATGAAAAGAAGGGACTACAGATAAGATTAGTCTACCCGGCAAAACTATCATTTAGAATTGAAGGAAAGATAAAGAGCTTCCCAGACAAGAGAAAACTAAAGAAGTTCATCATTACCAAATTATTATTATGTGAAATATTAAAGGGACTTATTTAAGAAAAAGAAAATCAAAACTATGAACAATAAAGTGGCAAAAATACATATCTATCAACAATTGAATCTAAAAGAACTAAGCAAACAAGAAGAACAGAGACAGAATCATAGATACAGAGAGTGTTTTGTTTTGTTTTTTAAAGATTTTATTTATTTATCTTTAGAGGGGAAGGAGAGAGGGAGAGGAACATCAATGTATGCTTGCCTTTCGTGCATCCCCTGCTGGGAACCGGCCTGAAGGGAACCGGCCTGCAACCCAAGCATGTGCCCTGACTCGGAATCGAACCGCGATCGTGTGGTTCACAGGCCCGAGCTGAGAGTGTTTTGATGGTTGCCAGAAGAAAGGGGTTTGTGGGGGAAATGGGTGAGGAGGTGAGGGGATTAAGAAGTACAAATTGGTAGTTAAAGAATAGCCATGGGGATGTAAAGTACAGTATAGGAAACAGATTAGCTAAAGAACTTATACACATGAGCCAGGGACTTGAACAATGGTGAGGGGACTGCCTAAGGGAGTGGGGCATGCTGGGTGGAGGGGGACAGAGGGAAAAATCAGGACAACTTTAGCAGCGTAACTGATAAAATGTAATTAAAAAAACTCATCAGCTCTTATACTTTCATTTACTTAAAATCCTCTAGACCACAGCAGCTGAGAGTGTGAACTCTGGAGTTAGAGTGTAGGGATCCATCTCAGCTCTCCCACTTGTCAGCTCCCTGACCGAGGGCAGGTTACTCTGCCTTGCGATGCATGAATTTTCCCATCCATAAAATGGGAATAACTGCATGTCTACCTGTTGGGCTACTTGAAATATTAAATGAGTGATTTATGTGATATACTTTGAAAAGCTCCTAGATAATGCTTAAGGAATGTCAGTTTATATACATCCTCTGCTCGTGTGTTACAATAATAATTCAGACAGTTCCTGTCCCATGGAATTGTTACCCCATTAAATATATTATTATAAAGTTAATAAGAATTATTAAGACCGTGGAACCACCCTGGCTGGTGTAGCTCAGTGGATTGAGCACAGGCCTGTGAAGCAAAGGGTCACCGGTTCAATTCCCACTCAGGACACCTGCCTGGGTTGTGGGCCAGGTCCCCATTTGGGAGTGTGTAACAGGCAACCACACACTGATGTTTCTCTCCCTCTTTCTCCTTCCCTTCCCCTCTCCATAAAAATAAGTTAATAAAAAAATCTTTTAAAAAATAAAATCTTTAAAGAAATTGCTAGAACTTAAAAAAAAAGACCATGTAACCTACTCTTAGAATAATCGGGGAAGGCAAAGCAATCACTGATTAAATCCTGAGGACCAGGAAACAGGGAACTAATACCCAACATTTTCCAGAGATCCACAATTTGAGTTCTTCACTAAATAAAAGAACTTTGAAGACTGGCAGGCCCTACAATCAGTGTGCCCATAGTTTCTGCATAAACATACATAATTAAATGCTATTACAAAAGCAGTCAGCCTATTCTACAAAGAGATCATGAACACAGATTTATGACCATCATTATTTTTTAAGATTGAATAATAAAAATTTTAATATAAAGTTAAGATTGAGGAGATAACAGAAATAAGCAAACCAAGTGCAATCATTAAAAGTAGCAACTGCTGGCTCTTGGCCTCACGTTCTCTTCCACAAGGTCAAACTACCACTGTGCAGTGCGCCAATCAAAATTTTACGACACCAAATTACAGGCTACAACTTCTTGAGCACATCTTTCAGAATCTGGCTTCTCTTAATCCACCTGAAAGATCAGGCTAATTAATTACTACATAATAACCATAGCCACCATTTGCTGACAGCTTATTATGCATCAGAAAGCATGCATATTAATCATATCTTCATTTTTCCGTGCTTTGGTAGTTAAATATCTCATCTGAAAACCACTTTATTCCGGCATCCCAACTACTTAGTATTTTATAGTTATGTTCCAAGGAAATTCTGTCTATACAACATGGAAATAAAAGCACAGAATTTTTGGGTCAGAAACTTATTACCTTTTATATCTTCACTACAGTTAGGTCGATATTTTAAAAATATATACACTGTAACTGGAAAAAAGTCCATGTTCTAGAAAACTCATTATTTTAGGAATATTTATAAACCAATTTTGCTCAATGGAATAGGTAGTAATCAAAATGCAGATTCAGTCATTTGTTCTGCCTCCTCAAGACAGAACACGGCCCTCTGGCCCATCGCTCAACAATGCTGAGTAAACCACAAATGGAGGACCGAAATATCCACCTTCCTTGCTCTGTGCATGGTTCCCGAACAGTGAATATATATAAGCCCAGTAGTCATCATGTAAAACAGTAATTTCTCCATGGATTTCTTTCTCATTCATATTATAATGCTAAGAACTCAGTTCTCTTAAGTATCTGTGCATATTATTACAAATGTATTGGGTTGGCCAGAAAGTTCATTTTTCCGTTAAATGGCTCTAGTAGCACTTGTCTTTAACTTTATTCGAAATAATTTTGTTAGATGGTATTGTGACAGTTGTCATAACAGTGTGCATTTAAAAAACATCAAAATTGATGAATTTTGTGTAGTCATTTTAATATTGAAGATGGAAGAAAATATGCAACATAAGGCATATTATGCTTTATTATTTCAAGAAAGGTAAAAACACAACTAAAATGCAGAAAACGATCTGTGTAGGATATTGAGAAGACGCTGGGATTAATCAAACATGTCAAAAGTGGTTTGCGAAGTTTTGTGCTATAGATTCTCACTGAACAATGCTCCATGGCCAGTAAACCAGTGGAAGGTGACAGTGGTCAAATTGAGACATTCATGGAGAACGATCAGTGTTATACCACATGGGAGAGAGCTGGCAAACTCAAAATATCCAAATCCACAAAGTTACTGGTGAAATGAAAAATATGTCTCTTATTTTATGGCAAAAAAACTAAAGGAACTTTTTGGCCAATTCAATATATGTTATGACAACTATCAAAACTTAAGATACCATAAGCAAATAGGAGCTGGATATAACTAAAAATATTCTTTGATTACAAAAGTTTTTTTCCCTTGAAATTTAGTACTCAATAAAGTTTTGTAGGCACAATTGTGTCTACCAAAATCAATAGTAATGCATATCATTGCTACAAAGTTCACATTCAGCATAATGTGAAAAACATGAGTAAAAAATGAATGAATGACATGAAAAGGAAAAAAATGGAAATAAAACACAGAAACAAGAAGAAATACACTTTGGAAAAAAAGTGTTGGAAAATCTTCTCTTAAGAAAACATTTTCCCCCCTGTGAGAACAGGAGGTCTATATGGTGCTTTCTGATAGCAGGCACAGTTAATGCCATCTCTAAAATGCACTGGAAAGCACAGTCCTTGGTTGAAGTGCTCTTCCCATTCTTCACTGATGAAGAGAAGAGCATGTGGAGAAAGGACAGGAATGGGTCAACGGGGGGCTGAAAGGAAAGCCTCGGGGCCCAGACAAGTCTCTGCACCCTGGAGAGCCATGGGGCACTAAGAATGCTCTTAAGGAAGGCGAGGGAAGGAGAGGAAGAGCAGTGATGTCACAAATTTACGTACTATTAAACTTTCGTCTTGAAGCAATTCCGATTTCACCTCATCCACCAAGTAGCCTGTCAGTCAAGGAAAAAAATAGCCCAAAACCAACTTCTACTGCTGCCACGTGAAACGGCAACAATCATATGGAACTTTCATCATTAATAGCCCTCAACTTGTAGCTCAAACTCTGATGCATATTTTCCATTCCCTTGGACTTTGGCTGACCCGATCAAATCACAGAAAAGTTTAGGTATAATTTAAATTTAAATTTAAATTTAGGTATAATTAATCCTTTTCTCTCAGGAATTTGACTTTCCATAGATATATTTCATTCAGCTAGTGTGAACAGCAACAGCAAGAATATTTTAAATTCAGCATAAAAAGAAAAAGCCATACATCTAACAAAAAGTCATACCTGGTGGTATTTCCTGCTGTTCCTCTGCTGGGGACGCATGCGCTTCTGAAATAAACAGTAAGGTTACAATCCATTACATACTGCTGACCATTTTTAACCTACGGATTGCTGGTACTTAGGTTACAGTGATTATTTTTACAGACTCTCCCAAAATTCAACTGCAGTCATTATAAAAACATTAAGTTCTTACACCATCACAGCAAAGAAGAATCAGCTATAAACCGCAAACTGCTGTACATTTTTCAAGTGTTCTGTACAACAGACTGCAAAATTATCTGCCTCACTGACCAACCTCAAAACCCACTGCTAGGCAAAGTGAACTAAAACCTAGGTTTTCATCAATTCTGCATCAGGCTTGACAGGCAAGCCGAAGAAAGACGTCTAAAGCGTCCTGTTTCTTCCTCCAAAGTTTTAAATTCATAACCCTAATTTTAATGTGAATAAAAGCACAAAGAAATTAAACTGAAATAGAATTTTAAAAATAAATCACTATACTTCATAAAGGTTTCTGAAAAATAACATTCAGGATAACATTCTAAGAATAACCAAAAGTGTGGATATGAATTTTTAACATCTGATATTTTTCCCTGGTTGCCTCAACCACTTACAACTGAGGCGACTGCAGTTCTCACCACCGAGCTGTATATGACATATCAATCTAAATTTGCTCTCTAAAATTACCGTACATCATATATTAAAGTCTTTATCTCTAACACCCACGTGACATTATCTTAATCTCGTGAGAAGATTAGAGCAGCTTTCCTTTTGCTCCTGAAGATTTGTAAAGACTTTGGTTCAAAGGAGGAATTTCTAATAGCATTTTCTAAAACTCAAAGTGTTTAGGCAGCTATTTTAATCATTTTTTTCTGGCATTAATTTGCTTCTAGTTATATGATATATGCTCATATAGAAGAGTTGGAAATAGTTTACACAAAAGTTTTAAAAAAAGGAAAAAAATCTCATGTATTCCCACCGATTATTATTCTGGCATATTTCCACTTTTTAGAGTGGTATCATTATCAGTGTTTACCAGCTTATCTGTGTTGTGATGGACTTGTTCATTGGTTTGCCTATTTATTGCATTCTTAATCATTTAAAGACATATTAGCACTTTCTCAACTTTACTGGTATTTATTTTCCTCAGAATTTCTTATACTGTTGTCATTTTAGGTACATTTGAAAAACCCTGTGCATCAAAAGTATCACTCACATTGCTATTTCCATCACTGAGAAAGCCTCATTGTTACTGCAAGATAAATTCCCACCTAAGTCTATCCTGAATAAATGTACATCTAACACATATATCAGAAACTTATTTTGGTAATGATGTTTACGAGAGGACTTTGTAAAGGAAATAGCAAATAATTTTATTGGCACAACCTAAAAAGAGTTACCCACTGATATGTAATTTTTTGTTTTTACTCCACGACTTTTTAAACCCATTTCAGTGTGGCGTTCATTCGCATTGATTTCTTCAAATAGCTTTCTGCCCTTCTGCTCTCCCGAGTTCTTCTCTATTGGTGCTCCTCCCGCCTCTTGGTTATTCATGCTCCACCAAATCTCCAAATGTGGGGAGTCCTTAGACCTCAGCCTGAGATTGCTCGTCTTCTCTCTCTGCATTCACTTCCAAAATAATCTTGAACATTTCCATGAAGTTAGTACCATCCTCATGATGGTGGCTCCTGAACATTTACACCCATTTCAGATCTCACTCGTCTTGTTCGGATGGGCGCATCCAACTCCCTACTTGGCACTTCCATCTGGTACCACACACACAGTTCCCCTACATCCTAGTTTTCTTCTCAGAAGAAAGCAGACAATTATTCAAACCAAACCAAAAGCTGCCTTTATTCCCCTTTACTTCACAACTCTCAGAAAGTCTCATCAGTTGTAATTCAAAAGTAGATCACAAGTTCAAAACTCTCCCTTCTATCTCTATACCGCCATAATCTTACTCCAGGCCGCAAAGATCACTTCCCCAGATTAGTACCCCCAAATTTCCTAACAGGGTGGTCTCTGCTTCAATTCTTGCTCCATCCAATCCATTCTCTAGAGAATATAAACTATATGAATTCAGAGAGAATCCATTCTCTCAGAGAATATAAACTAGAAGTTTATATTCAAAATATAAAGCAGATTATACTATATCTCCTTGTTTCCACAGATCCTTACTGTACTTAGAATATAATCCAAATTCCTTATGAGTTCCTCCAAGGCCCCAACTAATCTCTTCCCTGTCTTTTTATTGCTCAAGCCAATTCAAATTTGGTTTTCTGTTACCCGCAACAGAAAGTAACCCTACTGGAACAGACCAGGAAGAACAGCAGGGTTTACACACAGGACTGATACAGGAAGACCTGCATTTCTGAAGTCACTGTCCTGACGGCACCATGAAAGATGGATTTAAAGGGGAAGTGCATGAGTTAAGAAGACTGGCTAGAGGTTACTGCCATTGTCTAGGAAGATGATGGGAGGCTGAGGTAGGTCACCAGAGTTACAGAGAAAAGAACAGATTCGAGAGGTGCTGAGGTTAGCCTGGTCAACAGGACTTGGGATCAGCTATAGAATCAGGATGAGGAAGACTCAGTGATGACTCTCACATTTCTCGTTTAGGGATCCAGGTATATATTGATGCAACCAGCCAAGACAAGGGAAGACCAGGAAAGAGAAGGCTGGTGAGCAGGTAGAGCTAACGAGCAACCCCTCACTATCCACTCAGGTGCTGCAGGAACACAGAAATTGAGGGTGGGGCTGAAGGCACACAGTTCAGAGCACCACTGTCGCCCAGAAGGAATTCCCCCAACAGCCTCTGCTCTGTCCTCTACTGGCTTATCAAAATGCCTGAAAAAAACATAAAGGACCCAACTTTCAAGCCATCTCTCCCCAGGGCTAACCCCTTCTCCTACAATTTAAAGGGGCCTCCTCACTGCAGCTTAGCCACAGGTAGCCCGTAACCCGGGCACTCGTGTCCTCTGACCCCCAAGCGCTGTACAGAGATTTAAGACTAAATGCTTAGTAAATACTTGTTGAATACATGAACATATTTTTAATGTGAAATGTATACCATCTCTATAAAAACTTACCTTCTAAAATTATGTTTGAATCTTCTACAGCATTATCTAGAAAAAAGAAAAAAAGAAAAAACTCAAACACAACTTATATTAACTCAAATCCATTAGATCCCTGAAATAACTTATATCCACTCAGATACCTAAAATTGGCTCCTCTGTAGGAGCCAATTCTCACAAGTCTTTATACTAGCACATCAACTCTAATTCACAAACAATGTTAAAGAATACATCAAATAGGGTGGTGTTATCTGTGCTGACATCAACCTTCCAACATAAGTTGGGAATAAATATTTGAACAATATCCAATTACTTTCTTGGTGAAATGAAAATGTCTTAGTTTCTTACTACATCTATCTTTGATCCATGACTTACAGAAGTTTTAACAAATACAAGGAGGGCTGACTTGCAGGAGGAAATATCTGCTTGGGGAAAAAGCTTTCCTGAACTTTCTATCCCTTCACTTTCAGATGGTTCATATACTGAAAATACACAGGAAAAAAAATCTTTTAGTGCCGCATTACTCTAAGATTAACACAACATTGGCCAGACAGTTCAAGAGCAGAGACAGTGTCTAACTTATCCTTGAGCTCTGGGGTTCAGTCACTGGGAAGGGGCAGAGTGGGGAAGAGTCTGGTCTCAAGTGAAATAAGCCCAGATTCCAATCCCCAGTCAGCCACTTTTTAACTGTAGGAGATGGGCAATTACATATGATTCCTTCCTGTAAAACAGGGAAAATTTAGGTTCTTCCCCAAGTCCTGGGTAGCACTGAATTTCCTTTCTTTATTTTCCTCATGTCTGTGATGAACGTTCTCAGTTCCTAAGACTCTACCCTGCTTGCCACCTGGGATCTGTGTGTTCACTACACAGATTCTCTACTTTGTTTAGGGAATAATTCTCAGACTTGGGGCAAACAATCCTGGCACCGGCCTCTTAGAATGACCCTAATTCATGACGCTAACCGCAGCCCATCACCCATGGCTCCTCGCGTTTATGTGCACAGGGCTCAACGTTCTCCGCGCCCCTGCAGAGAAGGCTCCTGTCTCTACGGCAGTCTTCTCTCATCCCTGGCTGGGTTCCAGCTTTCTCAGTTAACCTGAGCCCTACTGTTTCCACTTTCCAAAATTCCTCAAATTTTCTTGTATACTAAGGGTAAACTTTCTTATTTTCCCAACATGATTATCAATTTATTCTCTTTTTTCCCATCTAATAAAAAAAATGTACTGAGTACCTACTATCTTTTTTTTTTTTTTAGAGAGGGCAAGGGAGAGAGAAAAAGGGAGAGAAACATTGATGTGAGAGAGATACATTGATCGGGTGCCACTCACACAGCCCCAGCTGGGGACCTGGCCTGCAACCCAGGTATGTGCCCTGACTGGGAATCGAACCTGTGACCTTTCAGTCCACAGGCTGGCACTCAATTACCTGAACCACACTAGCCAGGGTGAGCACCTACTGTTTTTGTGACATTCTCAGTGGTGGAGTGGACAGAGCAAGTGACAATTTTTAATGTATCATTTTCTGTCCTTCTGGTTGCTTTAAGAGGAAGTATGCTCACTCTGTCACCCTGAACCATGTATTTAAACCTGCTACATTCTCTACCAATTGAGCCTGCTTCTCCTGGCCTTCTTCCTTTCCTCCATTTTAGCCTAATTTCTTTAAAGCCTGAGGCATGGATACATGGAACAGACTGACAGATCTCAGAGCAGAGGGAGTGGGAGGGACTGGAAGAGATTTGCCACAGAATGTACATGCGTACATGTGTACATGTGTAGCCCATGAACACAGACAGCAATGTGGCAAAGGCAGGGGGAGGGGGCCTGGGTGGAGAGGGGCAACTATAATAGTGTCAACAACAACAAAAAAGAGTCATTTACATTTCCTGTCCCATCTCCTCACTTCCTCTTGTCAACCCACTCCAATCTGTCTTCCAGGATGAGCACATCCAAAAAAGACTCCTCTAAGACCAATGAGCATATTATTTTTTAAAGTATATCTGACATGCGATATTATATGAGTTTCAGGTGAACCACATAGTGATTCTTCGTTTATAAACCTTACAAAGGGACCACCATGATGAATCCAGTAACCATGTGCCACCGTACAAAGTTATTACCATACTACTGACTATATTCTTTATGTTGTGCATTATATCCTCATGACTCATTTATAATTGAAGTTTGTACCTTTTGTTCCTCTTCACCTTTTTCACCCAGCCCCTAATCTCCTCTCCTCTGTGTCTATGAGTCTGAACAGACGAGCCCCTTATTAAATTAGTGGGCTCTTTCCACCCCTATCATATTAGATCTCTTAGCAGCTCCTTCCTTTTCAAACACTATTGCGCTTGGACTTCAGTGTGACCATATTCTCCTTTTATTCCTTCATTTCTCCTTCTCCATCTTCTTTATCATTTCATCTCTTTCTTAGCAGGCATAAAATGCTGGCTTTCATCAAAGTCCTGCCACTGGACTCCCTGTCTTCTCACTCTCTCCTCACTCCTCAATGACCTTGGACTTTGGCTTCAATTCCCACGTACATGCTCACAATGCTCAGACTCACAACCACAAATTGGACTTCCTTCTGAGAGCCAAGGAAGCCAGGAAGCCTTCCATCCTTCCCTTTATTAGATATCTCCCCCTGGATGTCTCCACATGTACGGACTGGACCATCTGGCTTCCAGTTGCTCATTCCCACTCTCCTGACTCAGCAAAAAAGCACCACTATCCATTAAATGCACAGGGCGGAACATCGGATGTGGTTCCCGACACCCTGTTCTCTCTCCCCAGCTACACCCACACATCAAGTCCTGTCAACTTTATCTTCTAATATTTCTCAGCTTTGCCCATTTCCCTTTACTTTCACCACCAACCACTCCTGTTTAAACTACTTTCATCTCTGTCCAATTTCTGTCCATTGAAAACAGTCCTTGCGAGGTCTCTGTGAGGCCTCTACTGAAGGCATGTTTTTGGTGCTCGTCTTGAGCACAGGACACTGCTGAACATCTTTTTCTAGAAACTCCCCTTATTCGACTCCTCATTGGGCAGAGATGCGACTCAGGGCAAGATCGGATTTGGATAACTGCAATAACCATCCTAAATGGTCTCCCCATGGCTACTCTTGTCTCTCTCCAGTCAGTACTACACATCGGACTGACTAATCTTTACAAAATACAGGTGTGATTTTGTAGTACCCTAAGCAGTGCTCTACAGTGATGATGAACATCGACCTACCTCCAGGCACTGTCTTGACTAGGACTGTTTCACAGCCTCAGCCCATGTCTCTCTTGTCATCCTCTGCACTCTGCACACATCTTCCCACCTCAGAGCCTTCCTACTAGGTTCCAGCCACCTTTCTCCCTTCTTTGTCAGCTGCGCTCATCTGCAGCTCAACTTCAGGGAAGCGTTCCCTGGTCCACAAACTAGGTAGGGTCTCTACTGAGTACTCTTGTTCCACACTGCACTCATCCTCACAGTCCTCAGCACACTGTACCTAAACACTAAATGGAAATTGTGTAATCTCCACCCCCTTGGTAAAATATAAGGTCCATGGGAATAGGAACCATGTGTGTGTTCCTTACTAACACTGCTCCCATGTCCTGTGTTTTGGACGTGAAGTTCTTAATACATAATGTAGTGTACAATAATGAGTCCATTAGGTGGTGAGACTATACCGTCACTTTTCAGGTGTATCCAATGTGGGCTTGATGCAGTACTTTTAATATGAAAAGCTGGTTTCCTTTATAGCTTTAGTAAGCTGCTGGTTTTCTAGGTTCTCCAGTTGGAGGAATTTAATACAGAGTGTAATCTGTTTCCCACTAAAAATAGTTCTGTTTTTAGCCTCCTTGCCGTCTCACTTATGTGGAGTCACTCGGTCTCCCTGGTGTGATTCCTGAATTCTACAAAGGTAGTTTTTAAAACACGTAGTGAATAATCCTGTGTTCTATTAGATCTGTTTTGTCTGAAAAAGTTTATGTCCTATAGCAAGGTAATCCAAAGTATCTCACCAAATCTCGATCTTTTAGGTAATATTTATTATTCTTCGTTAACATTTTAAATTATATTTGTTATGATATTCTGCCTTTGGAAATACATTTATTTTTAGAAGATCTTTTTAGCATGTTATGTAATTTTATACTTCTTTCATTTAATTTTAAAGTTCTCTAGACCTAGTTTGTAAATTATATTCCAAGCAAGTTCTTTCCATTGTAGTCAGAAAGACACTAAAATGACTGGTAGATATTAGAAAAGGATTTCAAATCCTACCTCTGCATGCAACTTTTAATTTCCAAATTCCTATTTTCTTCTCCAAATTCAAAATTGAAAAGAGAATATAAATGTAATCATAGTTGCCAAGTTATTTCATTTCCCATAGAAAAAAATTAGTCCCTGAAGACAGAATCCAGGATTCTTCCAATGTTATCATTCACATCTTAATAGAAACAGCCACTGTAGATGGGTGATCTTGATAGAATCTCAAACCTTAAATACACACACTTAATAAATTAGTTTATCAGGTCGACACAAGCCATTCTTAATTTTCTCCAATCAAGATTTACCAAGTATCGTGACACTGCAAATTTCTTGAAGTAGGGACTCGTTCTTATTCCTGTATGAATGCCACGCCCTAGAACTACCTCCCACATGGAAAAGTTCTCCACATTTGACTCAAGCACTGTGTATTTCTCCATCCTTCTCGTTTCACATGCAGAGTTATACTGACTAATTTCTTTCCTTCTACAGTTACCCTTGAAGATACTGGAATAGAAAGGACGCACCACTAGCTCTATGAACACTTAGTCATAGGAACTTATGCAGATTATTCACATTTTCTGAACCTTATTTTTCTCATCTGGGAAGTAGCAATGATATAATCTATTCCATGAAGCTTCATAAAACAGCACAAGAAGTGCTCCTGCAACCAAAGGAGCTATAATAAACCTGAATGTGAATCTGATGCTACTCGTGGCACAAATTTGCCAGAACTGTGTTCTCCAAGCGGCCTTTAAGCCTGGAGTGAAATTCTTCTGCACCTTTCTCAGGCTGGCAGATCAGTCATCTTCACTGCAGAGTGGGACGAATTTGCAGAAGCAGCTAGAGTAGTTGAAGTCCGACCGAAATAGCTTTCCGAGCGCAAGATATGTTTTAATCAAAGGACCACAATGACTACAAAATAATGAGGTAAGTTTTCTTGAGTAATTTTTAACTGCTTCCTAAGGCAGCTTGCAATGAAGTTAAGAAATTATTTGGGCAATGGCAAACAACTGAAATAGGTAAACAATATCCACCAGTAAATTCCTTGAAAACGACAATTCATTTGGATGTGTTTAAGTTATGATTTTGCAGCTTAAAACATTATTCTCTATAAACTACAGTCAAAGTATGAGAACATTTTAAAACAAGTAGGTGGCTTAAGTTTAAGAAGCATCTCACACCTTGTTGATCATGGTCTTCATATGTTACATCGTCTGCAGAAAAAAGTAATAAAATCCAAATAAGAATTAGCTGAGTCGTTGTGTGTAACTACTTAGCTAAAAAACACAATCTCAAATACAGAATTCTATTTCTTTAAATATTAATGTTTGCACAGTCAATGAATAATGTCTCTGCCCAAAAACAACTAGAGGAAAGGGCAGAAAAATTATTTCCATGCAAATTCCTCAAACTGGCATAAAGCAAGATACGCAAAAGAAGAGTTGGGAATTTATATTCTGTTTTCTGTAGAGCCAGTGGTAGATGAGGTGAAATATGAATGCCTCATATTTTTTAATAATAAAATTTTGTTGCAAAGTTTTATATTAGGTGTTAAAATTACTTCTTGGTCTCCTTTAAAATAAAAATCACCATGTTAACAAAGCATTGCAACTGTAAATCTTTAATAATGCTTAAAATCTAATAAAAATATCTGTCTAATACCTGCATCATGGTATGTTCTCTCATCATCCTCTATTGCTGGTTCAGTGGAATCTAAAAATAAAAAAAAAGAAAATACACATATATCCCTTTGTCAACCAAGAAAAACCAAACACATTATTAGACATCATTCTGAAATTATTTACAAAATAAATTCTAATCTTTACAACTGTGTAAGATAAATATTATCATTATCACTTAATACAATTTAAGATCAATAAAGGTCCATAGTTTGCTAAGTCAAAAGACAGGTAGGACCGGCACCAGTCGGTCTCTGCCTCGTTCATTCCCAAACATTCCTTCCAGTCTGGTCTGTGAAGACCGACATCCCAACAGGGATCTGAGAAACACAGCTCCTTCTCCTCACTTCCCCCTATAATATTTTCAACTATATCCAGAAATTTCTATAACTACCCGAGCAACCACAAATATTATGAGTATTCTAAAGAGTACTCCATTCAATCATAACCAACCATTAACCCAGGGATAAAATAGCCTTGGCCACAGCCTCGAATAAAAACACATCACAAACCTGAATTTTCCTGTTTATACATCATATCTTCTATATCCTGATTATAGGCCTGTGAAGCTTTAAATTAGGAAATAATTAGAAAAATACAAATATATATCAAGGGAGAGGAATTACACTTGATATTCAAAATCGGAACAGCAAAATTTATGGTAATGATAGAAATGTAAAATTGAATCTTACTGATGCCCAAACTCTCCTTCGCTCATGGAACAAACAGGTACCACCTGTGCTAAACGCTTAATGCAAAGATGAAAAAGACAGTCCCCACTACAGAATAGTGAAGCCATCTGCCTATTTCGCTTATACAAATTCAACTATATTCAGAAAACAAAATAGGATGGATTGACACAAAAACAGAATACATCCTGTATTAAGTTCCCCAAAGACAGAGGGAGACAGACAGAAAGAGCAGAGCAGGGAGCCCTCCTCCCATCAACTCAGCAAGCACCACCACGGAGCCTGAGCCAGAACCAGAACACACCCAGTTTCCTGAGTACTCCCCGCTGCAATGTGAGTTTAGTGTCTGCAGATACGTATTGTGGAAATGGTAAGGGCACTGAACGTCACTGCCAATATCACATGGTCCCTCAGCACAGAAAGAAGGACCCACTCCAGCACTGGCAGGAAACTGGACAACAGCCCAGGCTCATTCCTGAGAGACGACGTGTCCGTCCTCAGTGCAGCCAGGCCTTCTGGAGACACATGGCATGGGACAATACATAATTCTGACCTTTCACTGACTTTGTAATTTAAGACTATAAAACGTGAAATTCCACTGTGTCTTTGACCTAGTAATCCCACTGCTAGGAACTTATCCTCAGGAAGAAGACTTCAAAATCACAAAAACTATAGAAGGATACAGACATGTATGTGTATATACGTAACTATGACCTACTGTACAAAATAAAAATCAGTAAGTATATACTATATATTTGACACATTAAATATAATGTATTAATAATAAAGGAGCACAGACAATGTTTTCTCTCTCAATGCCCTTTTATAGTAAAAGACCCATTCTAATCAAAAAAGGATATTAAATTGAAATCTCACCTGTCTCTTCTACATGGTAACTATCTTTAGTTTCTAGAAAAAAAATAACATTAGATCAATATTGCTATTTCATAAAATGGCATGTAATATATTGTATATGTATATTCTGACCCTATTATCATTGACTTCATTTTGAAACTAAAGAACTATTAAAATCAAATATGAATACATCAATGAAATGTCCGCCGAACACGATCTTTCCCTAGAACTACATTGAGAAATGATTCGCACATTCTCTCTGATCCACTCAGCACCCCCTCAAGGCTGACAGATACCACAGCCTGGGCTAGAGAGAGGGTGACTTAGGCAGAGTAACAGTGACACAGGCTGGACCCAGAAAAGGGGTGTATTTCTAATCTGCCTCGGAATCCACTGTGGCCTTCTATTCTCCAGGACAAAAGTGTCCTGCCTACGCCTGGGAATACACAGCTGGGTAGGGTGGAGGTTGAGGCACATGAAACATAAGCAGCCTCTCCGCACTTCTACCCAAGGCTGGCTGCGCTGTAATATCACCTGCAAGGCCTTTACAGGTACCTACTTTGGAGCCTCACTCTCTAAACATTCCAATTCACTTTGTCTTGGGTGGGTCACAGGTATTCTGCTAAAAGCTCTCTAGGTGATCTTCATTGTGCCCAGGATTGAAACTATTTGCAGGGTTATCAGTCACCTTAGTGGACTTGTTCATAAGAAGCTCCCTCTCTGGATCCATGACCCTATGGCCCAAGACCTTTTCCCCTTTACGGGCACTGTGGGTTGACTAATACTGCCTGTTTCTCAGCTCTGTCTATGCCAATGAACTTGGTTTGGGCTTAGCGAATCCTTGAGCCCTGCCAGGGACGTTTGGTCTAGATCCTGTGTGGCCTGTGCTGCCGCGTTGCTGCACGGGTCCTGGGGCGACTCTGCGCTGGTCACTACGGGTGGGATGCGTAGTGTGATGTGGCTAATGTGTGGCAGTGCCATGAAGCTTTCCCCAGCATCTGCACAGGCTTGCTTTTTTATGACTCTTTAAAAATGAAACATGTATCTTAAAAAGAATGTTTCATTAGTATTCATTTTAAATATAAAATCATATCACTTATGTATGCATATTTTAAGTAAAATGACATAAATTAATCAATATACAAGCTGTGGCTTAAAGTCTTCTTCTAAGAACTCATCAAGGTCTTAAAGGACTACTTTAACAAAAGAGACAGATATCATAAGAAGAAAGCATTTGTACTTATTTAACAGGGCTTCTGGCCCTGGCCGGTGTAGCTCAGTGGATTGAGCCTGGGCCTGCGAACCAGAGTATCGCGGTTCAATTCCCAGTCAGGGCACATGCCTGGGTTGTAGGCCAGTTCCCAGCCAGGGACTCACGAGAGGCAACCATACATTGATGTTTCTCTCCTTCCCTTCCCCTCTAAAAATAAATAAATAAAACCTTAAAAAAAAAACAGGGCTTCTAATAATCATGATAGTCTCCTATTAAAGCAGAGCAGAGACCAAAATATATATAGTGTTTTTAACACAAAAATTGCTTTTCTATATATCAATAGTCAGTACCTATAACTTGCCTATTACAAGTGATCCAACATAAACTACTCAGCTGATACACAGGTACCCACAGGACCCCCATGTCTGCTGCATTCTTATTCATGGTGGCCTTTGATAGATGATTAGCTAAAGAAGATGTGGTATCTACATACTACTCAGCCATAAGAAAAGATAAAATATGCCATCTGTAACAACATGGAAGGATCTTGAGACTATCACGCTAAGCAAAATGTCAGACAGAAAAAGTCTAGAACCATATGATTTTACTCATGTGGGACAGAAAACTGAAGATGACAAATGAAAAAGAAATACAAACAGAAACTCCCAGACCCAGACAATAGTATGGTGGGTACCAGAAGGATGGGAGATGGAGAGGGGGATAGTAATGAGTAAAGGGGGTCAAATACATGGTGATGGAGGAAGATTTGTCTTTGGGTGTTGGCCACACAATACAAATGCAACATTCAGATTATGTACTATAGAATTGTATACTTGAAATCTATATTTATTAATAAATGTCACCCCAAGGAATTTAATTTAAAAATTGAAAAAATAGCCCTGACTGGCGTGGCTCAATCGGTTGGGTGTCCTTCTGCAAACCAAAATGCCACCAGTTCAATTCCCAGTCAGGGCACATGCCTGGGTTAAGAACCAGGTCCATGGTTGGGAACATGCGAGAGGGAACCCATAGCTGTCTCTCTCATACATACATCGATGTTTCTCTCCCTCCCTTCCCCTCTCTAAAAATAAATAAATACAATCTTTAAAAATAAAGTAATAAAATAAAACATTGAAACAGAAGAAATGTCAACTAACTGTAGCCTATAGACCAGATCAATCCTGCCGCCTGATTCTGTGATAAACTTCTACCTCAGCACAGCCTTAAACACCCACTCGGGAATCATCCAGGGCTGCGTCTGTTCAGCAGTGGCCGAGCTGAACGGTTCCAACAGAGGTCACGTGGTCTGCAAAGACCAAAATATCAACCTTCCGGCTGTTTACAGAAAAGCTTGCCAATCCCTAGTATAAAACCTAAGAATTGTGTTCCACCCACTGCAGTTACAGAGTTTATATCAGAACTAGAGCCCGTGATGGGTTATCAAGCAAAATATTTTATCAGTTGTTTGAATTTTTTTATAACCCATGGCATTCTAGAGAGAACAATAAAATAATGGGCTAAGGTACTTATTTCACTTACATTCTACAAGAAATTTATATGTTCTGAGTTTCCCTAAACAATGCTTTCTGTCAAAATTAGGATATCTATTTATTTTAGGGGAAAAAACATTTTAATTGAAAATTTTAGCTTCGACTTAAAAAACTGTTGCATTAACATTAAATGTTGGCTTTAAAGATGTTTAAGAAAAACTTAAATAATGTTCATTACAGATCACCTGTTGCATTTTATTCTGAAAGCCAAAAAACAAAAAGTGTTCTACCTTCCTGAAGCATTCCAGTTTCCAGGGATTCAAATCTGCCGTCCGTGTCACTTCCTACAAGGGAATCCTCATCTTCTGCTTGCTGTTCTCTTGTCAGTCCATCCTCCTCTTGTTGTAAGTCTTCTCCTTGAAAATGACAATGAACAAAGAGGCACAGGTGTACAGCAGGGGCTATAGCAGGGGCTCCATGGCAGCCGACAGACACTGCACATGCTGGTGCCCACTCTGAAGCTCTGTTCTCACTCTGGCCAAGTGCTGGCCACCTGCTGGGCACAGGTAGGTCTTCTCTCACTGGGCCACGAATCCAGCAAGGTGAACAGCCTCATGTATTTTGTTCACTACGCATGCCCAGCACCCAGGGCCATGCCCACCGAAAGTAGTGCTCAATAAACATTTAATGAATAAATAAGTGAATTCATAAACATTAACAGTTTCCTCTTCAATTAGATGAAAGAGAAGGTTACTCAGTGACCTTCGGTTGAGAATTCATATGAAATTCCATGTGACGATCTTAAATAACTCTGTATTAACACTGTATTGCAATGGGCAGCCACCTGCCTAAACCGTATGCCAGATCACCTGTCTTAGGTCTCCTGATACACTGTTTCTAAAGGTTTCTATGTTATAGTCTTTAAGTTCTGCGAAGATGCCCATGTCCTTTTCTAGGACTTCTGTCATATACTGAATTGTTCTTGTGTGGAGACACTGGAAATGCAGCCTTACTCCATTGCAGTACGGCACAGATCGTCACTGTGGGTGAAAGAATTCTCCCCAGAGCACCCTGACGTGGCTTCAAGCAGCACGTGTCCTGTATGTAACACTCTCACCAAAGAGCTCCAGTGAACTAGACTTAGCTGTGCAGTGTGGTACGATGGTTAGGGGTGCGGGGTCTGGAATGCATGGCCCCAGATTTAGGTTGTTCCACACCAGCTGTGTGACCCTAAGCAGGTTACTTAACTCCTCTGTGCCTAAAATTTCTCTTTCATAAGAGGGAAATAAGAGTACCTACCCATAGCATTGGTGTAAAGATTAAAGCAGGTAGAAAGATGCCTGGCCCACAAGTATTTAAGTGTTGTTATTTTTGTTGTTGTACTGTTGTTATAACTTTCAACATCAGGTTCATCAGAGTAATAACAATATTGCTATTTCTAATGCTACAGGACTCTACCCCAAGGCTGCAAGATGCCCTTTGTTACTTTTAACCAGGTATGGTGAGGCTCTCAGAACTTACTGAATTATGTAGGCCCATTTATGCCAATGCTATTTATATGTTTTCTGTCTTCTCATCATAGCCTGCTACATTGTTTCTCCTCATTTCAGGTTTTTGTTGCTCAGGATATCAATTACTGATTCTCATTCCTACCAGTAATTTTACAACTCTTTATCTGACTACCATATTCCCTTCCCTTTCTCTTGTTTCATCCAGTATAATTTGATGGTTTTTATGTGAGCAGGATTCATTTCTCTCAGCCAAACTTCGTCCACGATCTGTGAGTCTCCACCACCCTGTCAGTGACAGTTGGATATAAAAAGAACAAAGTAAAAGAGCATCTTCGGGCCTCACTAGACTCAGGGCATTGCCAAGCCCTTCGTAGCCACAACATCCCACTTTGAAGGATGAGGAACTTGAGAGACTTCTAAGGCCACACAGCTAACAGTTGGCAGCTGCAGGACTTGACCCCAATAATGAAACAGAGTAACGGGGAAGAGCGTCTACCTCAGAGACAGTGGTCAGGAGGCCACGTTTGGCCTGCTAAGATGGGAAGCTGGATCTGTCTCTCTTTCACACACACACCCCAACACAATTTGTAACAAGTGCAAAGGCCCAAGGCAGGGATAGGTTTGCAGTGACGAGGAACAGAAGGCCAGCTGGGCTGGAGAAAGTGACTGAGGGGAGAGAGACCAGGCCCAGATGAGCACAGGGGGCCAGGCCCCATCAAACACAGGGAGCAGAGGTGCATGGATGGAAACAGGGACCCAGCTGGACACCCCCCAAGTGGTCATGGCAAGACGTGATGGTGACATGCTGCAGAAACCAGACACGTGATGGAGGCAAAGTCGACAGGACCTGCTCATGGGTTACAAGTTGGGGGAGAAGGGCCGCCAGCATAACCTCCCCTCTGACGCCCCTCCCACCCACTCTTTGCACCACACTCAGTGCCGTCCGATGGTCCCAATGACTTAGACTCAAGCAGGAATTCCCTCCCCTTTGTCACTCCCCACCTACGTCCCCCCATGTGCCAGCCACCCTAAACTACTCTGTGATCGCTTTAGCCTGGGGACTTTCTTCACGTAGGTCCTTTGCTTAAAATACCTACCGACAACATGTGCCTGGTGAAGCCCTACACCACGTTCAGCTCCTAAATCAAAACATTGCTTCCTCAGGAAGCTGAGCTAACCCCACAGCGTGAGCAAGCCCCACGTGGCATCCTGTGTTTCATCATCACAGCCCTTACCTCATTATGTCAAAATCACTTATTTTGACGGCATCGTCCTTGTCTAAAACAAGATGCAGAAAAGGCAGACGCACACGCAGTTCCCTAGACATGGGCTTCTGGCGTCCTGGCAGCCAATGGCAAAGACCTACAGCTGGGCAAAGGCTTGTCTCCCAACCAGCACCGAGGGAGCCAGGTGGGGTGCTTTACCCTTAACCCCCAAACATCTGACTGAAAAGGACAGTTTCCTAAACCTGCTAAAGCGCAATTTAAATGAGAATTGTTTAAGAAACATTTTTTTTTCTTTTAGGACTACCTTTGGCTCACAACAAATCATTGGAATTCTCAGGTTATCACATGTTGTGCCCCTTCAAAATCTCTCTGTGAGTTACATTTTGGGGGTATACTCTCTGCTTGGATCAAGGGATGCTTCAAGAACCAGTCTTACAAGATCCTAGAACGTTGGTTTCTATGGTATCATTTCATATTCTCTGTACAGAAGTTCACATTAGGAAGTTTTTAGATGTTAAGCGCTAGGAAAGTGTCTTCCAGTCAGTAAGTAGATCATGTTTATTTCTTCTCCGGTAACATGACCCACCTAATTCAAAGCTGCCTGCTGGCGACCCACCCAGCAGGCCCTCGAATGTGACAGCCAGTGATTGCGCTCGATAGCCCCTGACAGCGAGCTGGCTGTGTCCACTTCCTTCCTCCCTGTTCTCGCCATCTGGTCCTGATGTAAGGCTGGTCTCCATTTGTTTACTCTCAGGTACTCCTACCATTTCTTCATTAGATGTACGCAAACATTTCCTTAACAGTAAGGTGGGGTAAAGCCAGTTCGGTGGTATCAAATTATAGGAAAAATATCAAAAATATTTTTCAATAACTTAAAAAAACTCAATTATCATTTAAATTTTAAAATAATATCCTAGTCATTTAATCGTTTCATTATGTTAGTAATGCATTAAAAAAACAGATGTTAATTCATACCATGTTCTGTGTATACTGTTTCATGGAGAGGGGAATGAATTTCATCTTGTATTTCATCTTCGATATGCTGAGGTCCTAAAATAATTACAAAACATAACTAAGTAGGAAAGATCTAGACATCAGTGTAGAACCTGAAATATGGAATCCGTATGGATGCAGTCAAATAAATATATCTGGCTAGTCGACTATGCATACTTTTCACACCAGTTGACTGCTTTTTTGCCTGTGTTGGCAAATATGGTAGATATTTAAAATGGATTTTACTTGGACAGCAGATATAAATTTTAAAAGACTTCATAAGATTTTAAAATAGGAAGTCTAATTAGGTTTCACATTTTTCTTTAAAAAATACCTTACAGCAAAATTATTCTAGTTTGTAATTAAGAAAATTCACACTAATGACAGAATAAAGAGAGTGAGAAAGGCAAAGCTTTCAGAAAGGAAAGTGCTGGGAAATAAAGATAAAAATGTGTAAGGCAAGGTTGGTATACATCAGTGTGCACAGTGAGTGCAGTATACACTAATGTCTATGTCTCTCTGACAGTCAGGAGACCGGCCCCGCCGGTGTGGGGACTGCTGTGGTCTCGGAGGGCTGACCACTCCCAGAAGTTGCCAGGAATTGTGAGTAGACCTTCATAAGTGACTGTCCTTTCAGCTTTGGAGAACCCCATCAGACATGACAGTCAGGTTCAGAGATCCAAGATGTTAATTATAAAAGTGAGTATTAGCAATGAGACTCTGACACCACTGTGGTGCTTATCGGATTATCAAGTATATTGCAACATCATCCAACAAACCGGAAGCTATGACTCACTTACACTACTATAAATGTCCTAACCAATATCATCTATTTTCAGTAAACAGAAGCAGTCAGTGATAGTGACATCAGCTAATTTTCTATGACAAATATGGTTAAGTTTATTGGAACTTCATATCAGTTAAAGTTTAAAATTCTATTTTGCTAGTCACACTACAAAACCATTTCTGAAGCACACAAAAAGTGCCTTCTATTTGTATAGATGTTTATATTTCACAAACCATTTTTAAAAATAGTGTCTCTTATAATCACAGAAGAGCCCCAGACATTAGTGCCCGCGACAGCTTCCTAGCTGGATCCCCAGTTTTACAGCCTTGGAGAACACCGTGGAGTAAGGAGGAGTGGTGGGTGGCACTCTGCTCCTTTGATTAACCTTTTCATGGCTTCCTTTGCTGGACGCTATGAAAATCCAAGCTCTCTAGAACAGAGTGCAAGACCTCCACCATCCAGGCCTCACATGCCCCTCCAGAGTCCTCTGCTTCTGCACCACTTGAACTTGAGGGTGCAGCAGGCTGTCTCATCAGTCTGCTGATTCTGTGACGCCCGTCCTTGCCCTCGTAGGATGGGCAGAGGCAGATGCCAGACTGGGGTGAGTGAAAGATCGGAAAACAAAGCAAAAAAGCAACTCCAGAGTCTTCCTTCAGAAGTCTGGCTAGTACAGCAAGGAGGGGGACTGGGAATGAGAGAGGAAAGACTGTAGGGATCAAAAGGGGGGATTATTTTACTGTGTTTTAATGAGAGGTGTGTACCTATGTTTATGGCAGAAGTGGTAGTTAGAGAAGAGGGAGAAGCCAAGTGAGGTTAGAGAAAGGTTAAAAAGGCAACATTTAAACTAAGCCAAATATGGCCAAGATGTTCAAAAGGATATGAGGCGACAATAAATTCATAGATTTAGTAGCAAAAGTTATCAGTAATATGCACAGACTAGTACAATAAAAAAATTTAAAAAGGGAGAGTGAATGGCACGTTACAAAGTAGCTGCTAACTTTGAAAAAATTTAATCATAAACCTATTTAGCACAAAGTAAAATTTAAGATGCTAAATCCAAACACAAAAAAATCACTCTTGCCATGGTATGCTTATAGCAGTTCTACAGGAATGGGAGGGAAAGAGTAGTTATCTCCCATGATTATGACTTGAACAAATTTAAAAATCAAATCTACATACTGATTTTAAAAGGGAGGAAGGAAAATCAAGTACTATTCATCAAAATGATAAGATCAGCCAAAGTACCCATTGGACCCAGAACTTAAGCTGCCAGTAAATACGTGGTGTCATACATAGTATTTCCACTAGATGGCAAAATAAAACCAAACACTGATGTTTGACATCGGAGTACAAGAAAAAATGTGCAGAAATCAAATAGTACTTTGTAATAGATATCTCAGCACAAATAGGACATAATAGTAATGGATTCAAATTCATTTATCAACTTGTTAAAAGATTTCAGGAGTTGTCATTCCATGGGTCCTAGGCCCTTGGGTGACAAAAAGATACTTGAATTGATCTAGGAACCAATTCATGAATATGTAAAACAGGCTTCACAGATACCTGGAGGTCAGGGAAGTCTTCTGTTGTAGAAAGGAGAGTCTCATTAGAAAGACTGGGAACTCAGTAGACCTACTCTACTGAATAACGTGAGAAATGATGACAGACTAGTGTAGAATCTAACTTCACTTTCCACAAGGTATAGCAGTCACCTGCTGGTACAGCATGACATGCCTAACTGAGATGTCATGCACTGAGCAACCATCTATGTGTGCCTTTGTTTTTTGATCCTCACTCAAGGGAGTGCTTACTGGTTTTGGATACAGGAAGGGAAGGAAAAGAAGAGGAAGAGAAACATGGATGTTGAGAGACTGAAACATCGATAGGTTGCCTCTCCACCACCCCAACCAGGAACCATGGCATGTGCTCTGACTGGGAATTGAACTCATGACCTTCCAGTTTACAGGACAATGCTCCAACCAACTGAGCCACCCTGGCCAGGACCGTGGTTTTGATTCTTGATCTTGGAAATTAAAATCGTCCTGTGTTAATTTTTACTAGAAAAGAATTACGTTTACCACAAAATTCCAGAAGAGAAGAAAAAGGATTTCACAATTCTGTGAACACTGCCAACAAATTATGGGTAGAACACGATCCTGGAAACCGGAAACCAGAACACCTGCCGGGCCGATGGATGCATCCGGTCATAACTACAGAAGAGCTTACCTGACTCCTCGGGAGCCTGGGCCTGCAGCCGGGCGTGCATCTCAGCCTCTTCTGCTCCCACTGTTGGCTTTGAAGGAGATCTCTCCTTAAGGCCTGCATTTTTATTCACAAAGTTAACTTATATATTTTTCTCTTTTTCGACATGTTAGACCAGGACAAATAATATTTTTAAATACTTCATCAATAGTGCAAGTAATTCAAAGTTTATAAGAATTTATAATACATGAAAACACTGTCAGGATTAAAAACTGAAGTAGGAAAATAGTTGGTTCTTTAGCTTTACTTGGGCCTTTAACCTCTCTTTACCTAAGTTAACTGTTCATGTAAAAAATATCATTGTTTAAATGTTCACGAATCTCTAAAATACAATGTTATGTCTGAAGTTGCCAAAAGCAGCTCAGTATGAGTTCAAGCTGTGTGCGTTAATGGTTAAAGTCTTGAATTTCTAAGTCTTGAATTCTGAATTTGGAAAAGACAACTAAAATATACTCAAATTTCTATTGTTATTTATTAGCACACTAATTTTGATTTATATATTATTTATTCTTCATGAAAATTATAGCTAAAAGTGAGAACAAATCATATATACCTATTTATAATCTTCTAAAGGTAACACAAGCAATCATATTATTCCATAAGAGCTCAAAGATACAGATTTTAAAAAGTTCCTTTTTTATGTCTTAAGGAAAATAAAACTTTGGGGTAATTTAACATGAAAACTGATTTTAAAGTCAACACCAGTCACAAACAGGTTCTACTGAATTAGTTCTTTGGTACTTTATAGGTGGAACAGTAAAATAGATCCTCCATTTACTGCAACTACTTAGAAGGCTCAACCAGCTGGTTCAAGAGTCTGTGGCTCCCTCCCACCAAACCCGGGCTCCACGCTGGCCCAGCGGGGGTCACACACCAGCAGTGGTCACTGAAGGGAGGGTGTGGCGCTGTCAACAGCCAGCAGCAGAAAGGCCAAGACAGAACCGAGAGGCAATTTTCTAATCTCAAGCACCTTTGTGAACTCTTAATGTACATAAACTATTGTGGCATAGAAAATTCTCATTTCAATGTCTTTTACTCTTTTTTGATTCTTTGTATTTTTCCGTATCATTCCCTTTTCTTTTCCACCTTCATTATTTTCCCTCATTCACAAAACACAGTGACGCTTCCCTTCCCAAATCCTGGAGACTGAGACAGACACACAGGACCGCACCTCATCATTTTATTTCCTGTAGCTGTTTTCAACACCGTTCACATAAGAAAATGGGGCATGGGTAAAACAAATGCCAATGCACACAGCTGTATTTTATCCCTAAAATTAAAAGTGACTTCTCATTGGAAAATAGGTTCCAAAGGGTGTATACACAAACACCCACAGATGTGAACTGTAGTTCATTTTCAGGGGCTGGGAGGGGGTGGGTGGAGATGAAGGCCTATTAGAGCATTGTATTTTAAGTGCCAAATGCAGATGGAAAGCTCCTGCGTAGTTTTCCACTTAATCATTCTTACGTGTCTCAAATGTCACAAGTATGGAACTATTCATTGCCAAGTTCTGCTAATAGCAGAAACCTAAGAATCTTCAGAATCCTGTAACTTATCATTGCTCTCAGAACCTTGGCACATAGCAGGTGCTCAGTAAACACCTTCTGAAGGGCTGAACACCAACAGCCGTGTGACGACCCAAACGGCTGCAGAAATCCCCTGCGGGGCCAGGCTCTTTAGCCGCACTACCGTGGCTGTAAAGGCGGGAACAGGGATCGTAGAGATTTCCCTACTACTGCCTGCCAAGTAGATTCATACCTGTGCTCAGCACCCACCAGTAGAGCACGACCCTAGTTTGCTGGGGACAGCCCCAGCTGACTGTCCTGGTACAACTATTTTACTCTCAAAGGTATGTCTGTTTGGATGAAAAATTACAGGGTGGTTCCTCACTAATCTCATATGCAGTAGGTTTCCAAATTGTGCTCCAAAAGTTCAATAAGCAATAAAATGTTCCCACCAACGATATAAACAGCCATAAATCCCCCTCTTAATGGTTTTGAGAAAAGTTTCATTGGAAAAAACATGTTTTTTGGTGAAAATGTTCAAAACCTACCAGTACATCAATGTTCGGACATAAAATGCCCCTCAAGTAGACTTTCTCTAAATCAACTGGGAGTTATTTGCCTCTAAAATTGAAATTGTAAAACGTGAAAAATGACAGGAGGAGGAAAGCATATACCAAGAGAAAATACAGAGCAGCTTTCTTTTCTGTCCAAAGTGGCAGATGAATTGTAAATTTACTGATACCCGATCATAGCTGTTTGGCAGAGGTGAGACCAGCACAAACAAACAATACCGTAAACATCAAAGAAGCTCAGCATCGTGTTAACACATCTCCTTCCCTAAACCTACACACTCCACGCCCTAAAACTTAACACACATACAGTCTAGACTAATTCTTACTGCTTCGACAACCCATACAGAAGAATTCACCCTAGCGTTTCCAGATTGATTTATTTGCTGATACTTATTTTTTGCTACCCAAGTGCGTGTCAGTCCATGAATAAGTGCTCTTTGGAGAACAGGGGTAAACCTGTGATGTCTCATATAAGGTTTTAGGCAAAAAGTAAGCAAAAATTAAATAAGAAAACTAAATACATATAAGGTCAATGTACAATCAAAGACAAGTTTTTTCCAATTAGGTTTATTATGAGGTACACGTGGCAAGGGAGGAGCACTGAAACTCTCAAAATCACGTTATGAAATGAATGCATCAGTTCTGATGTTGCTGGGACTGCATGCAATAGAACACCAGCTCACACAGGCTTGAGCAGAAAAGAGCTTTATTACCCAAACTGAGAAGTGCCAGGCAGACTGGCTTGCTCAGCCCTGGCTGTGTCGTTTTAGACAAGACAATGTCCAGAAGCAAAGGACATCTTGTTTTCTGCTTGTTCTCCTTTCTTAAGCTTGAGAAGATCTCTCCAAGAAGCCTCCAGCAGTCTTCCCTTTCCATTTTAATAGTCAAAACCAGAACCCACTTCTACTCCTAAACTGGTGAGAGAAACAGGGTGGCCACGACTACCTGACAGTAATTATCCACTAGACAGAGTTGAACGAATGTTGTGAGTGAACCACACAGTCCTACACGATTTTAAAGATTTTATTTATCTTTTAGAGACATGGGAAGGAAAGGAAAAAGAGAGGGAAAGAAACATTGATGGGTGAGAGAACATCGATTGGTTGCCTCTCTCACTCGCCATAACCAGGGACCGAATCTGCAACCCAAGCATGTGCCCGGACCAGGAATCGAACCAGCAATCTTTCATTTTGTGGCATGACCCCCGACCAAATAGCCACACTGATCAGGGCCCCTATATGATTTGGAAAATAAATTAATTCCCTTAAACATATCTCATTTTTATTTTTTTCAGCATAACATAAATTAAGAGAATTTTACAATGTTTGTATTTAAGAAATATCTGATTTCTCCTCAAATTTAATGAAAACATGAAAGAAGTTATAAAAAGTAAATGCAATGAGCACTTGAAATCAATCATTCATGACAAACTTGAATGCCACAATGCCCCCAGCCCAATATTGGCTCATTCACCACTACCCAACTGACCACATGGAAAAGGATAAATGCACCTTACCCCCATATATATGGCATAGTTTAAAATATTGTATTTTGCTTAGTGCATTCATTCACTCCATAAATATTTAGCACCTGCTCAGTAAAGCAAGGCATTAATCTACAGAAAACAAACACACAAAACCCTCACCTCCCACAGAGAGGGAACAATGCAATGAAACCCAAGACAGTGAAGAGTACCTGGGATGGGAAGACTGTCTGGGGAAGAGACAGGGAGAGCCAGGCCCTGGGGAGAGGCAGCAGGGCTATTTGCACTAGACTGATAAGGAATGGACTCACTGATAGGGTTTGAACAGATTACTGATAAGATTTGAATAGGGCTGTGGTTGCTCCAGTTACTCTGGGGAAGAATGCTCCAGGCAAAGCTTTGGAACAGCAAGTTCAAAATTCCTCAGCCAGGAGGGTCCTGGGATCCAGCGACCTGGGGGGCTTGTGCAGCTGCAGTGAGCAAGGGCTGAGGGTGAGGGGGTGAGAATCAGGAAGGTCCTGGACAAAGGGATGTGCAGTCCTTCGCTCTGAGTGAAAATGAAGGATTCACTTCTGTAAGAATTATATACAAAAAACTTTCTCAACAAAATCTCGGAACTGTAAGTAGTAATATGCTTTATATGATTTCATACACTTAAGCCCAGAAAAAGCTAAGACATTTTTAAACTTTGTCAATCTTTGGTTTACTCATCAGTGGTATGCACACTGGTAAAAATGTTGAGGTTACCTACCCGGGTTACTCCAGCTGCTGTTACTTGTGAAGGGGAGATGCTCAGGTCTGCTACTGCTTTAAATGCAAGGAGTCTAACAGGTTAAAACAATATACTCCAAGAACGAACGTACTCCGTCCATGAAACTGGAGAATTATCCTAAGAAATCAGTAAACCAGGAAAGGAATGCATACTAATTGCCCATGTAATCCTGCCCTTGCTCCTGGCTCGTATAATAAGTAAGTCAGCAGGTATCCCGACAGCAGCCAGGTCCTAAGAGCTGCCTGGTGATACACGAGAAGAATCCCAGATTCAAAGCATCTTCACACAACCACGGGATGGACAGATTTCAGGAGGAGGACGATACAAATCTCAAACTAATCAAACACTTCAAAAAGGCTCCTTTTAGAAGCTGCTTTTAGAACCAATGAAAGGACTCCCCAAAGATTGGAATGGGGTGGACTCAGTTTAACATCTTACAACAAAGATGATGTGTAAGAAGCTCAGGCACAGAGACCAAGAGGGCTGCCTTCAAATTCCACTTGAGTCCCACCTCCAGCAGACTGCCTGGGCTACAGCTTTGGTTTCCGCAGGGATGGAGAGCAGACAGAATAGTCCCATCTCCTTAGAAGGGTTTTCCGAATTAAATCATTTAAACCCAGCAAATACATATTTTTCCACCAATTTAAGTTTTCCTTTATTTCTTCCAAGGAAACAAACTTACTCCCTCTCTGTGCACATACACACAGCAACTCCAGCACAGCTAT